GCATGCCTGGCCCTGAGACATCAGCCCCTGTCCTAGCCATTCACCCTTGACTCCCCCAGCCCTTCCAGCCTGCTAGGTTTGGCTTTTAAATTGCATATATTGCTGGGAGATATTTCACCCTTGTTATCAGCTAACACTCCAGCCCTTGAAAATTCCACCCAGGACAATAAGAACATTTCTGAACACTTACTGTGTGCCAGGCATGTTCTGAGCATCTTGCAGGTGGTAACGGATTTACTTCTCAAGGCAGATAAGCCAGGGGGTGCTACTGTCATGCCTTTTTATAAGAAAGCTACTCAGGCCCAGAGAGGGTAAGCGTCTTGCCAAGTTACACAGCCAACAAGTGGAAGAGGAGATTGAAATCCAGGTGGGTGGCTCCTTGGCTACTCTACAGGGTGCTCTAAAGGTGAGGGAATCTGCACAGGGTGGGGAGATAGCAGCAGGAAACACTGGAGACAGATTGCTTTCATCGTTTTCTAGAAGGTTGGTCATTTCCAGCAGGATTTCCCTTTTGTCCTTATGAAATGAGAAATGTGATAGGGAGGAAACTGAGGCAGAGAAAGAAGTGGAGGGGAATATTTACATATTCACATAATTGGATTGGATTGATTAGTTCAATCAATTGCCCATTCAGTTACTGTTCATTGACTACTTGGTAGGTGCAGGCCTGAGGTGATCCATGGTGGGAAAAGACAAGTCATGGATTCAGGACTCCTGCCTCTCTTACGCACATTCAGCGCCTCCCAAAAGCAGGACAGCCCTTTCCATTGGGCATCTCTGTGCTCTTGCAGATTAAAAATAAAAAAAATTAGGAGGCCTCATTGAATTGTGCTTGGTATCCTGTGATGACTGTTCTTCAGTGCATTTGCTCAAAGTTCAATTCAGATTTCCACTCAGTTTTACTGACACCTTCTGGATATACACACTCTCTCATTTTAGACAGAAGGGGAATCTGGGAGGAGAGTGAAAGGCCCCAAAATGGGAGGTAGGAACTGTGTGTACCTGGTGGCATTGTGCCCCTTGTCCTTCTGGCGCTTGCTCCTAGCACTGGCAGCTGGAACCAGGGCCTGGCCCTGGGAAGCTTTTGGCGGGTGCAGACTGTGTTGTCTCAGTTCATGGGACCAGCATCATGCCTGCTTCTCACCCATTCCATGAGCGTCAGCCATGAAGGTGTGAGGTGAACGTGATAACTGCTACGTTACGGAAACTCAACCATAGTGGTGATGTTTCTGCGATCCCTTCTTCTGGTGGGTGAGCCTTGGCCTGCGCTGAAGTGCCTGCTGTGGGCCAGGCTTCCTGGTAGCTGGAATCTACTACAGCTCCACACTCCTCTCGACCTCTGCACTTTGAAAAGTGTGTGCGTGGGGGTGCTGCTGTGGTAGGGGATGATTATTACAAGTTGCATGGGATAAAAACAAATTCCAGGATGTCAGAAAAATTCAAGATGTGTTCATTTCAGTGGCCCTCTGCCAGTCCCTGTGTGGAGGAGACCCCTGGAGCAGGGTCCTAATCAGTGTCCAAAGGTGGAGGGGCCATTCACAGTGGGGATTTACAGAGTACACCCTCTTTAAAAGTGACTTAGAATTACTTTTTAATGGCTGGGAAAATGCATTCATGTATTTATGATGAAGTGCATTCCCATGGCACCAAATCCCAAAACTATGAGAATGGACTGTGAAACAACACTCCAGCCATTGTCCTGGACCTCTGTCCAGGTCCCCTCTCCAGGGCACCAGTGTGGCTGTTTATTGTCCTTCCTCCCAGAGACATGGTGTTCACACATTAGCAAGTATGCATATATTCTTTCCCCTTTTTATGAACAAACGATATATCCTACAAGCTTTTCTGCACTTTTAAAAAAGTTAACGTATTTTCGAGATCACATAGTGGGTTCTTTGTCTTATCTCCCCTCAGTTTTACAGAATTGTTATATGATGTGCCTCAATTTATTTAATGAATCTCTGTGGATGGACATTTACATGGTTCCTAACCTTTTGATCCTGTAGTGAATAAGTATAATATATTTATGTGTTATTCATTTTCCATTCTTGCTTGCCCAACTGTAGGGTAAATTTTTAGGAGTGGAATTGCTAGGTCAAAAGCTATACGTAGAGGGTGTGGCAGTATGCACCTATAAGTTCAGCTACTCAGGAGGCTAGGCAGGAGGATCATTTGAGCCCAGAGTTTGGGGGCAGTCTGGGCAACACAGCAAGATCTTGAAACTATATGCATTCAGAAGGAGCCCACTTTAAGAAAGTTGGTAGACTCTTTTGGAGTGGGTTTGAAGGTAAGCTGGGGACTCAGGCGGGCATACATGGGAAATACCTTGGTTATCCTAGTCATATTCATTTGGAGAGCTGTGAAGGCTCTGATAGGAAGGGGTTCCAGAGCTGGGAGTGGTCACAGACACCTGCATGACCAGCTACTTGGGAGTCCGAGGGAGGAGAATCCTGAGCTCAAGGCCAGCCTGCACTATGTAGTGAGCTCTTGTCTAAAAAATGTAAAGGAAAAGTTCTATTTCTATCTTTGGACTTTATAACAAGCACTACACCTGTTCTCCTTCCTCTCTAGGAAGAGGAGTAGTAGGAGGAAGGGGAGAAGGACCCAAGGAGGTCCATGTAGTAGGAGGAAGGGGAGAAGCATAATCCAGACTGGCCTAAAAATATGACAAATACATATTTCAATATAGAGGATTCCTGGCAGCAAACCCTAATGGGGGCTCTACATTATGTACACCTTCTCTGTGTGGAAAGTGGCTGTAGTGGTGTCTGTAGAAGTTCATCTCCAGTCCAGACTGTAGGTCCCCCAAATGAGAACTGGGGAGCACTGGATGGCATCAAGTCGTGAAATGCATGTTGTTAGTAGTGTACGACTAAGGCAGAAGAGGACCATGGGAAGCACACCATCCTGTGCTCTAGGCATTTTGGTTTGTGAGCTTCTTGCTGCAGAGATACACAGCATATGCCCAACTTGTGTTGCCTCATCTTGAGCCCTGGGATTGGGCCTCCTTGGGTCACTGAGGCAACTATATAACTAATAATAGCCAAATCTTGGAATCAGCCTATATATTCAATAAATGAATAAGAAAATATAGTATACCTACACAATGAAGTACTACTTAGCCATAAAGAAGGATAAACTTGGTCATTTGTTGGAAAATGGATGTACCTTGAGACCATAATATTAAGTGAAATAAATCAGACACACAAGCATAAATAATGCATAGTTTCTCTTGTATAACAGACCCAAAGTATAGATAATTTAATGAACAAAATAAAAGTGATAATACAACATAGGAAGATAGATCCCCTACAAATGGAGGAGGACAAGGAGATGGAGGGATGGAGGAGGGAAGGGAGAAAAAGAGGAAGTAAAAAGAATTAAGATGTGCTATATACATGTATCAACCCCCATGATGAATGTAATCAATATATATAGCAAACACACACTAATAAATGTAAAACAGCTCACTCATTGTTAGTAACCTTGACCCTGTGCTCCTGGGAAGAAGGAGTGGGAGTGGTCAGAGTTTTGGAGCCCTTGTCATGTCAAGATAAATTTAAATTCTATGTCAAAAGTAAAATTTGAGCAAAGAATTCCAGTTCCTGCTGAGGACATCTCTCTCACTGTCCTGCCTAATAGGATGATGAACTTTCTCCAAGAATGCTGAAGTGCCTCTTCTATATTCTCCATGGCTTTACATGGGTAAGTTCACTACAGCTGCTTTCTGTCAGGCTTCGTTTTACTCCCTAATTTCTTTAAATAAAGCAGTGTGTAAATGATGAAAAATAAAACAAAACCAAAGCCCTAACCAGCTATATTGGTCTATTTTCTGTTACTATAATGAAATACCTGAGTTGAGGAAACTTACAAAGAAAAGAGGTTTTTTAGCCCCTAGTTTCAGAGGCTGAACATTCAAACAGCATAGTTCTGGGCTTTGTAAGCACCTCCTAGTTATGTCACATCACAGTGAATGGTATGATGGCAGTGATGTGGGGGAGAAACAGATTCTGTCATGATACAGGAAGCCAGACAGACTGTTTCCCCTCACCTGG